ATTTTTCGGCATTTGGGTTGTTTCCAGGTTTTACCTATTGTAAATAGTGCTGCAATAAACGTAGGGGTACAGGTTGTCTTTTGAATAAATGTTTTTGTGTCCTTTGGGTAGATCCCTAGGAGTGGAATTGCTAGGTCATATGGTAGCTCCATTTTCAGTAGACTGAGGAACGTCCAAAGAGTTTTCCATAGTGGTTGGACCAGTTTGCACTCCCACCAGCAATGCAGGAGAGTTCCTTTTTCACCACATCCTCAACAAAAGTTGTTGTTGCTTGTTTTGTTGATATGTGCCATTCTCACTGGTGTAAGGTGATATCTCAATGTGGTTTTAATTTGCATTTCCTTTATTATAAGGGATGTTGTACATTTTTTCATATGCCTGTTGGCCATTTGCAATTCCTCTTTGGAGAAATGTCTTTTAAGTTCTTCTGCTCATTTCTTGACTGGATTGTTTATTTTGTTTTTGTTGAACCATGTGAGTTCTTTGTATAGCTTTGTGATCAGTCCCTTATCAGTTGACTGGCGTGCAAAGATTTTTTTCCAATAAGTGGGGTGTCTCTCTGTTTTGGTTAATGTCTCTTTTGCTGTGCAGAAGCTTTTTAGTTTGATGTAATCCTAAGACATACATCGCAATAACATCTTTAAAGACTCATCACCCTAAGCAAAGAAAGTCAGCATGTTCTTTTGATGAAGACATACAGATGCAAGATCTCAGGTGGGCACCAGCTTGCTTTGTTAACACCCAATGTTTAACTTCCTTAGATGTTTAATTTCTTTATTATCCTCTTAGGGATGGCCTTCCTTTTCCTTAGAATGCAAGAAGACAAACTTGTTAAATGCAACAGATAGGAATGTTTATCTGATGGGGCAGGAGGAGAGACCTGTCCTGTTTCACTGCATCGGAGATAGGGACAGAACTATCAGAGTGAGGGTAGGTGAACTTGCCTCCAATCTATAGTGGGAAAAATGCTAGGTTATAATGACTCGGTTGGCCTCAATCTGAGTTAATGTAATGGCATTTCCTGAAACTCAGAACCCTTTCTCCTAGCTAACACATTTTAAATCAAACAAGCAAAACAACTAGGAGCATTGTTGGGACTCAGATGATGAGGTTTGGTGGGTGGGGTTCTTGGGCCTCCTTAAGAAAGAATTCAGCAGACATTCCCATTCATCAGCACATGGCAAGTTTATTAAGGAAAGGCAAAAAAGGAAAGAGAGGTGCCTGCATAGACACAGGCAGGCAATCTTAAAAGATAAAAACTGTGTTTTGCCAGAGCAATGGGTAGTCTTTTATAGTGCTCTTTTATGCAATTATTATGGAAAGTATCCCATGGGGGTTAAGTTGGGTTGACCCCATCTCGAATTCCTGCAAACTTCCATAGTAGGATGACTAATCATCCCTACCCCCACCTCTGGTGTTTATCCTTGTGAGACCTTCCATCCTAAATTTTTCTACTCTAAGTGTCCATCATTATGAAGTGCTTTTCTGAGGATAAAATATTATAGCGCACCAAAGAAACTTTGGAAAAATCCTGGCTAGTATAAGGGGGAAATTCACACCATCCATTATTTCACCAAGTAGAAATAAAGTATTTCAAAACTTCATATGTGACCTTATTTTTCTATAGGCTTAGATCTTTCAATTTCCTTAAGTATTTTAACCTGAAGATATGTTGACACTATCTATATTCAGGGAAGGCAAATGCTGGCTTTAACGGTGTTGATACCGTAATTTCAGGTTTACAGTTCTAGTTCCCCAGCCACGAATGGATCCCTGGCTGCAGTGGCAGCGCTAGTGTCTCAGGAAGCCGCAGCAGGAACTATGCTGACACTCAGGCAAGCAAGCGAAAAGAGGCAGATTTGTTTAAAGAAATAGATGTAAGGAAAAGTTTATTAAGGAGAGAAGGAGCAGAAAGTGGTTTCATTTCTCTTGGACTTCCTTGATTCCCTCCATAACTATCTTTTAATCTCTTGCCTGGAGGAAATTAACCTAGCTGCAGCACTTTGGATCTGACTAGGAAAGAAGAAGTGATTTCAAAGTTCAACATGCAGGGCCTCCCTGGTGGCACAAGGGGTTAAGTACAGCACTATGAAGAAATCTGCAGCCTCTGCAGCACGAATTTGATTTCCCCAGCTGGCCAGGGAGCTACCCACATGATGCTGCAGACCTCTCCTGTCATGCCGGCTGCTCCCCTCAGCAGTGTGTTTCAGTCAGTCTGCCTGTTCTGTCCCCCACTCTGTCTCTGATGAATTCTCTCACTACCACAACCACCACCACCACCACCACCACCCACTGCCACACCTCTGGCCTGTACCCCAGCTCTTGTATGCATAAATAAATAAATCTTTTAAAAAAATCAACATGCAAATATTTATTTAACTCTTGCTTTCAGTGTAGTACCTCAGACTTTGAACTGTGCCTATAATCCCCAGTACAGGCCTCTCTATTTTATTTTCTTTATATGATAAACTTACAATCTTCTGCCTACCTTGAGGAGTAAGAGTTGTAAGTACTAGAAGCTGAGTCTATAGATATAGACTTTTCTGAAACTAACTTTTAACCAATCCTCCTATTCCTAGCTCCACTTCATCTTTTCACACACACACACACACACACACACACACCCCACTTCTGCACCTGGTGCCACCAATTTTTGAACGTTTTGGGAACTCATCATTACAATTTTGGTTGTTTCTTAGATTTCCCCCACTGTTGACAGATTTAGCTTTTTCAGATTTAGAAAAAGCAATTAATTCAGCTTTTCTACAATTTTTTTTTGCCTTTTGTGCTATTATCTATCTTCTTTCCTTATGGATTTTAGTCTTCATAAACTATTATATATCATTTTAATAGGGCTTGAGAAATGACTTAAAATGACTCATTAAATTGAAATTCCCACAATACCTTCAAAAATTTGTTATGAACCCTCATCTACTTTGTTTTAAATTTTAAGCTATTAAAATACTCCTGCAATGAACACCTTTTTATCAATTAAAGTTTAACCAAAAAAGCAGAAGGAATCAGAGACTCATATTAAGATATTGCAAGATAAGATATCTTAAGATAACGCAAATAATTCGTTTAGGCATTATGACATCTGGCTAGGCAAGTCCAAATTCATCAAGAAAGGTAAGCTGGAACTCAGACATAAACTACAGTTATTGTACACTGGCAGAATTTCTTTATCAGGGAAGCTTTACTTCTGTATTAAAACCTTTCAACTGCTTGAATCAGGACCATTCTTATTATCCAGGATAATCTTAAATAAAATTAGCTGATTATGGACTTTAATCATGGCTACAGAAAACCTTCACAACAATATCTTGGTTATTGTTGGATTGAATAACAGGCACTCTAACCTAGCTAAGCTGACTCATCAAAGACCATAAAAACTTTGGCTGAATATGTGATATTCAGTATATTCTTTTTGTGTAAAGGTTTATTTATTTATGCATACAAGAACTGGGGTACAGGCCGGAGGTGTGGGTGGTGAGAAGATTCACCAGAGACAGAGTGGGGAGCAGAACAGGCAGATTAAAATACACTGCTGAAGCAGTAAATGAAATAACAGGTAGGTTATTTTTATTTATCCACATATTTTTGAAGTATATTTTGATATAGAAGTTGCTGGGCATTGTGGTAGGCATACTAAGAGCTTTTGACATAAAAATATGCTTCAAAAATATGTGGATAAATAAAAATAACCTATCTGTTATTTCATTTACTGCTTTGATTAATTTTTTTTCTGTAATGAATAACTTTATATGGCATTGAGCTATTGATTTTATTTACATATCTCTGATTTTTAGTGATAACTTTTTATATACAATGTTGGTAAATTGTAAACTGCCTGTTTCTATTAGTATTTTCTGAACATTGGGGAGGGGGACTTTTAAGTATTAAAAATGATGATTTTTGTCATATAAGTTATAATCATTTATCTCCTATTTGCTAGTTTGCTTTTTGAGTTTTGTGACCAGAATTCGCATGTGGCCTCCTGGTCATGTTTCTCATCTGCTCCAGAGTTTTCTCCATCTCTGTATGGAAATTGACAACTGTCTTTGTGTCTCTAGGGAGCCTAACCATTGACCACAGCAAAAGGGTGGAGGGTCATGACATTAGATGACACTATCCAGTGGGTAGCATTTGAGCATCCAAAAACAGAAAGAGGGTTCACCCATAAGCTTACTTCTGTTGTTTCCCATCTTGGTATTACTACTGCCCACTAAGTTATTCAAGCCCAAAAATTTTACTATAATCCTAATTTCTCTCTTTATATAACAACACAAATCCAACCCACAAGTCTAGTTGATGCTACCTTCAAAAACACACCTCAATGTGTCCATGTCTTTTGTTTCTTCTACTCTCACACTGGTCCCAGCCACCCCCACTCCTTGTCCGAACCACAGCAGTAACTCCCCAGCTAGTCTAGCCATTTCCACATTTGACTTCTTAAAATCCATTTCCATACATAAAGATCTTACTCAAGTATTTATAAAATAAAATTACTTTTCTGCTTAAATTTCCTCCCTTTTTCCCCATTTATCCCACCCCATCCACACACCTTTGGGGGTAGTTACTTACCAAAAGCAAATGTTTCTCTTTTGTCCTCTTCCTTCACTGCTTCTGACTTTGTGTGCAAATGTGCTTTTCTTCCACACTCTCTCTCTCTCTCCTCACTTTTGTTCTTGACTGATGGGCATGCAATTAGAAAGACTGGCAGAAAGAATTAAGTGTTCTGTCAAATTTAGGAACAAATCTAATCTGAGTGGGGGAGAGGGAGAATGATCACTTGTCTATATGTGCAAGACTGCAGAACTAAATTTTAGCCAGTGTTGTTCAGGATGAGTGCAGCTCCCCATGTTAGTATGGCAAGAACGTACCCTTTTCCCATGCCTGATCCCTCAGATAATATCCTCACACCACTTTCTCTAAGGCAACTTGAAACAGCATGAAAAAGAGGTCCGGAGATTCATGACTTATGTTACCAATATTAAAGAATGGCTGAAAGACTACCAAGTTGCTTATCTTGTGTATATTTAATCTCTTCTCAGCAGAGGTCAAGGGATCAAGCCCTAAACCTATGTGTTCACTCACATGCAAAATGTTCTTGTGTCTTCCCCTACAGCGAAATCACCAAAAATTCCTTGGAAAATATCTTACCACAAATGAAATGTCATTTTACCTGGAATTTATATGATGAAGAAAGTTCTTTAGATGATTTAGAAGACAGAGTGCATGATCAGGTAGAATTTCTAAACACAGAATTCAAAGCAATCATGTACAACCTGTTTGCCTATGTTAAACACGTCCAAGGCCAGAACCAGGCTGCTCTGGAACACTTACACCAAGCAGAGGAGTTTATCCCACACAGGCAGGCCCACCAAGGCAAGATCAGAAGACTGATCACCTGGGGAAACTATGCCTGGGTCTATTATCATATGGGTAGACTTCCAGAAGCACAGGCTTACATCTTCGAGGTGGAAAATCTTTGCAAGACATATGCAAGCCCCTATAGCATTGAATGACCTGAGATTGACTGTGAGGAAGGATGGGCGCTTTTAAAATGGGGAGAAAAGTATTATGAGCAGGCTAAGGAGTGCTTCAAGAAGGCTCTGGGAAAAAAACTTGCCAACGCAGAGTTTTCCCTAGGATTGGCGATCACATTTTATCGTTTGGGTGACAAAGCACCAACGGAGAACACCATGCACCTTCTGAGGCAGGCCATCCAGCTGAATCCTGAAAACCAATATATTAAAGTGCTTCTCACTCTCGCTCTTCAAAAGCTCAAGAAGGAAGCAGAAGGAGACAAGCTGCTAGAAGAGACCTTGAAGAAAACACCGTGTCCAACAGATGTCCTCTGCAGTGCTGCCAAATATTACCGGAATAAAGGGATTGTGGACACAGCTATAGAATTGCTGAAAAAGGCTTTAGAATCAGTGCCAAATAACGTCTACCAGCATCTCCAGATTGCATGCTGCTATAGGGCGAAAATCAGACAAATACAGAGGTCAAGAAAATGGGCCACTAATGAGGATGAAGAACTACAGGAAATGATGGGAAATGCTGTGGACCATTTTAAGAAAGTTGTTGAGTTGAATGTCAACCTCCCCCAGGCCTGCTCAGACCTCGCCTGCCTCTACACCATTACAGATCAGTATGATGAGGCAGAGTATTACTTCCAGAAGGAATTCAGCAAGGACCTCTCTTCCGCAGAGAGACAGGTGCTGCATCTGCGGTATGGCAACTTCCAGCAGTACCAACGCAGGCACAATGATGCCGCCATCTGCCATTACTTGGAGGGTTTGAACATCAGTGGAACTTTGACCGAGAAGGAAAAGCTGATCACAAACCTCAGAAAACTTGCCAATAAATGGCTCTCACAAAGCACTACAGATGCAGTGGGTTGGCAACTCTCCAGATTCATTTGTGAACTGAATAGAAAAGGGTACCCAACATCTGGTGATGCTAAGAGAGGCCTGGGATGCCTGTTGGACCCGCCAGCTTCAGAGCCTGGCAAATGTGTCCCCTGCACATGTCCATCTGAGAAGGGAGGTAAAGAAATGGCAGAGGCTGCAGGTGGGGCCCACCACTCATAAGAACAGACAGAACCTCTAAAGGGAGTCAATAGCCAAGATTCCAGACCTGTTGTAAATGATGCTATGAACATTGTGGACCATGTGGGTTTTTGCATTGACAGTTTCTTACTCTTTGGATAAATGCCCAGGAGTAGGCTTGCTGGGTCACACAGTATTAGTGCTTCTTAGTTTTTTTTAAGATAAATCCACATTTCATTCCATAATGGTTGCACTATTGTACATTCCCATCAGCAGTATAGTAGAGTTCCTCTTTCTCCTCATCCTCTCTGGCACTTATTGCTGAAGGTCTTTTTAAGATGTGCCTTTCCCATGGGTGTGAAATGGTATCTGGTTCTGCCTTTAGCCTGAATCTCTTTTACTGGAATGATAAACATATTTTCATGTCTCTGGTCAAAACCTCTAATGCTAAGTTAAATATAACTGGTGACAGTAGGCATCTTTGCTTTATTCCTGAGGGCAAAGCTTTTAGTTTTCACCATTAAATATTATATGGGCCATTTATTTGTGACATACGGCCTTTGCTAATTGAGGTAGATTCCTTTTATTCCTGTCTTTTTTTTAAAAGATTTATTTATTTATGCACACAAGAACTGGGGTACAGGCCAGAGGTGTGGGGGTGGGCGGCGAGAGGAGTCCCCAGAAAGAGAGTGGGGAACAGAACTGACTGAAATACACTGCTGAGGGGAGCAGCGGGCAAGTCAGGAGAGGTCTGCTGCGCCATGTGTTTTGCTCCCTGGCTGGCCGGGAATTGAACTTACTGCAGTGGCTGTGGATTGCCTCATAGGTTGCGTCTTAACCTTTGCGCCACCAGGGAGGCCTCTGTTCCTGTCTTGTTTAGAGTTTTTATCATAAATGGGTGCCGAGTCTTATCAAATGATTTCTATGCAACTATTGATATGACCATATGGTTTTTACCTTTACTTCTGTTGATGTGCTATATTAAAATAATTGATGTATATTAATTGTTTAATATATATAAGCAATAATAATATAGAACATATTAGTCTATATTGTATTAAAATAATTGATGTATATTAATCCATTCTTGCATCCCTGGAATAAATCCCATTTGATTATGGTGTGTAATCCTTGTGGAGTTAGCCAGTTTTGTCTAGTCTTTTAGATTTTTTTAAATCAGGAGGCCACAAAAATCACACCCAGATTGCTGGGGAAACAGGGCATCACCTAGAGATCCCGAACCATGAGCTGGGGGCAATGATTGCCTTCATCCTGGGTTGACTCTCCTGGGTAAGGTATGAGTACATTCTGTGTTTGGTTTTTTTTTTTTTAAAAGAAGATTCATTTATTTATCCAAGAATTGGGATACAGGCCAGAGATGTGGGAGGGTGAGAGAATTCACCAGAGAGAGAACGGGGAATAGATTAGGCATATGGACCAAAGACACTGCTGAGGGTAGCATGGGCGAGATAGGAGAGGTCTGCCACACCATGTGGGAATCTCCCTGGCTGGCCGGGAATCAAACCGGCGCTACAGAGGTTGTGGACAGCTTCACAGCACTGTGCTCAACCTGCTGCGCCTCCCTCGAGGGGAGAAGGGGGCTGCAGAGTCACAGGATAGAAGGAGCCTGTGTCCAGGAATCACTGGGTGGAGGATCACTCTCAGCTGCCCAAGAGCACCACATTTGGACAGTCACCTGAGCAAGAAATAAACTTCTTTTATAGTGTTGTTTATATTTTTGAATTTCTTCATCAGAGCAGCTAGTTGTGTGGAAGCAATAATTCCTTTCTTAGGGATATATTTCCAAACCTTGATTTTTCCCAACTCTGAAATATTTGGGGTCTGATTTTATACTCTTCTGCTGTTTGGGCAGTACAAGTATCCCTTTATACAGAATTCCTAGCTCTGCATTCTCTCAGTAAAATCCCAGGTTTTCTCTATGGCCAAGAAGGAAGATCAAGAGCATAACTGAATCTGAAATGGCAACCCAATGTCAGCCACTTGACAACACAGTAGTTGTAGCCTCACATTAGCGCACAGATCACTTTTAGGTGAGTGACCCCTGACTAGAGAAGTAAATGCCTTAGTGGGCATTTATTATGTTCCAGGCACTCTCAGGATTCTATATGTAATGGTCCATTTAATCATCATAAAATGCTACGTGGTAAATATTAATGTAATTCCTATTTTACCAATGAAGAAACTGAGTTATAAAGAGGTTGCTACCTCTACCATGTAAGCATCTGTTAGACCTTAGCCTCTATCCTCCCCTAGTATATAATTCCTCTTACTGACGCTACTTGTTCTTTTTTTCTGTAGCTCTTATCACATACATCTAATTTTATTATTTACAAATACTATTTATTTACAAATACTGTTGTAAATACTATTGTATTTGCAGATACTATTTATTATTTACAAATACTATTATATTTGTTGACTTGGATTGCCATAATAAAATATTAAACTGGGTAGATTACACATCAGAAATGTATTTTCTCACAGTTATGGGGGTTCAAAATCAAGGTGCCCGGCCTCCCTGGTGGCGTAAGGGGTTAAGTCTTAGCACAATGAAGCTATTGGCAGCCTCTGCAACACAAATTCAATCCCAGGCCAGGGAAATAACCCACATGGCGCAGCAGACCTCTCCTGTCTCGCCTGCTCTCCCCTCAGCAGTGTATTTCAGTCAGTCTGCCTGTTCTGTCCCCAACACTGTCTCTGGTGAATCCTCTCACCGCCCCCACCCTAAGCCTCCGCCCATACACCTCTGGCCTATATCCCAGTTCTTGGGTGCATAAATAAAACAAAATTTTTAAAAGAAAAAATCAAGGTGCCAGCAGAGTTGGTTTCTGATAAAGCCTCTTTTCTTGGCTGGCCTCTGCCAAAGATGGCCAAAGGCCACCTTCCTGCCATGTCCTCCCACAGACTTTCCTCTGGTGTCTCTTTTCGTTTTAAAGTTATCAGTTCTATTGAATGAAGGCCCAACAGTTGTGACCTCATTTAATCTGCATTGCCTCCTTGAAGGCCTTGTCTCCAAAAAACAGTCACATTAAGTTTAGAGTTTCAACGTGTGAATGGGGTAGGGGGTCACAATTCAGTCCATATAACCATATTTTTGCCTTCTTGATAAGATCCAAGCCACCATAAAGATTAGAATCTTGGTGTACTAATGTATCCCAAGTGTTTATAATGGTACCTAACAGAGAGAAGGTATTCAATATGTATTTATATGTTTTTATTGAATATGTTATAATTTATAGGTATGTGAACAAATGAATAAATGAATGAATGCAGCAAATATTTCTAATGTACAAGAGGGATCCAAATTGTCCCAGCATAAGTTAACTTGGAGGATCTTATTTCCTGCTTATGAATATAGAGAACTGCTTACCTCCAAGTTCCCACAGACTGTTCAAATGCAGCTGAAACAGCTGATACTGAAAAAAAATAATGTTGAATTAACTGTAAAAAAGAAATAGGAATAGGGAGCTATTGAATTAACTCTAGCAAATTTTAGAAGCCAAATTTTTTTAATTAATTAATTTATATATATTTTACACCGGTGTTCATTTTTAAACAATGTTTGCTTTCTCCCCCCGCCCTCAGGTGTAGTCCCCATAGAATTTCTTTCACCAATTCACCCATGCACCATCACCTCAGTCCTCTGTGCTCCTCCCTCCCTCCTAGAAGCCACTTTTAAACCAATTTTAATTTTAAGCCAATTTTAAAATATCATTTTAAACACACATCTGTTTGTTAATATGTACAGGAAGGAATGGTATGTTAGGTGGGAACATATTATTCCCAACTTGTAGACCCTTGTGGAGATCAAGAAAACCCATCAGGATATGTGAAAATTCTTCTAGCTGATATAAATACTATTGAATTAGCCATCAGCTATTCTGGATGGGCAAAAAAAGGAAGAGATTGTTTGGCCCACCTTTGGAATTTCTGATTCACTCCATCTAGGATGGAACCTGAGAATTTGCATTGCCAGCAGGTGAAGGTGATATTCCTGGTGGTTGATGACAATAATTTATACAATTTGTAGTCGATGCAGCCCCTCAGGAGACAGCAAACAAGGACTCTACCTTACTCTTGACTGACACAAGGACTGTCCTAGGTCTGTCCTCTAGGACAAAGACAAATATTTGTAACAACCAGAGTAATCAAAACTCGATAAGTTTCATTTTCTCAAGATAAACACTGCTAGGGAAAATTTGGTTTCTCTTTCCACTTTCTGTTTTGTAATCACAGGGCACATTCTCACACTAACCCAAGTGTGAGGACAGCGCAGACATTGCTACTGTGGCAGCAATAGCCACGGGCACTGGCCTTCCACATTTCTGAAGAGTAAATCAGTACCTCTAGGTATTTCAAAACAGCAATCATGTGGTTGCTTTGTGCTTCCTCCCAGCCAGTACTTTCAGTAATAAGATGTAAGCATTTCTATCCAATTCCAGTTTTGTAATGCAAATTGCAAAAAACAAAACTTAGTTTCCTGTTTCAACATTCTTGTGTCCCTTAACAGTTACTTCTATAAATTCACAGAACTATGACTAGAACTAGAACCTGTAACTCTTTTTTTTTTTTTTAAAGATTTATTTATTTATACAAGCACTGGGTACAGTCAGAAGCGCGGGAGGGTGAGAGAATTCACCAGAGCCAGAGCAGGGAGCAGAACAGACAGAGTGACGAAGTACACTGCTGAGGGGAGCAGCGGGGCGGCAGGAGGGGTCTGTGCGCCATATGGGACCCTCGCCTGGCAGCCGCGGATCAAACTGGTGCTGCAGAGGCTGCGGGCAGCTTCGCAACCCAGCGCTCAACCGCTGCACCACCGTGGAGGCCCAGAACCTGTAACTCTTGAATGGATTTAAAACTAAGAGTTTTCAACTGGGATAAGCTTAGCTAATAAATAGGTAGCTTGTCAAGAAGCACAGCTTTCACATTGACTGCCCTAGGCAAAAAGATCCAAGGTATAATGTTTTCTGCAAGACTGAATAAACTGCTTTAGCAATCTCAGTTTTCTGGAAAATAGTTAC